GCTTGACGCTGCTGATGCACCAGAGTTGAGCATCAGGGACCTGGTGCCGCGTCCCAGCTGGCTTTGGTTTGGGCTTGAGGAGCGTGGTGCTAACTCAAGGGTGGTGGAGCTGGCTGAGAGCAGAGTGCTGCTGGTTTCTGGGCTGTCGCTAATGTTGGGCTGCAAACGCTACATTAACGGAGGTGGACAAAGCCTGTCTCCTCCGTGCTGAGATGGGGTGTGCCTGGCCAGGGAAGCGAAGGCTTGGAGCGATGAGATGGCTTCAGGCCCTGACAGTGGCTGTACCCTGCCATTTGGGGGTGGGGAGGCAGCAGAGGTGTTGGTGGAAGGATGCTGGTTCCTTTGTACCTCCTCCCCTTACCCTTCCATGAGAGAGATCGCTGTGGCTGTTGGCGAGGATAAAAGCAATTGGGGGGTTGCATGAATATTCATTGGATGATTGTGTGGCCGCAGAACAAGCCTGCATCATGGCTTTGGCTTCCAAAGAGAGGATGCAATTTGGTGTATGGGTGTCTTTCAAGGTTAGACTTCAAAACCAGCACACTTAAAAACCCTTTGAATTAATACCTGTGGAAAGCACGACCGTTGCCCCTGGAGGCTGAGGACTGCAGCTGATGCTTCAGTTCTGCTTGTTTTAGAGGGGGGGTTAATAATTTTGTTTACTTTGAGTCCAAAGAGCGGTGTGGGGTGGGCTGAGGATGCTCTTGGCGGTCCTCAGCGGGATGAGCGGGGATGCTGCGTGCAGCAGAGACCTGGCAGAGCGCTCCTTTGGCTCTGTGCAGGGCTGAGCACTGGGATAAACTTCCTCCACGTCAGCTCCGTGGGGAACTTTGCGGCTGTTCCCCACCGTGGAGGGGTGGTTTGTCTCTAGGCTTATCCAGGTGACAGCAGGGCTGGAGTGGTGGCATTGAAGAGGAGCATCTCCTGTTTGTGTCTTTGCCCTCTGTCAGTCTCCTGAGCCTTCCGTCTCCTGTGGTGCTGTGGGTGATCTGTGGCTCAGGGAGGCTCCAACAGCCTCTCTTGCCTGTAGCTGATTGCCAGGGAGTGAACAAATCGCTCCGGTAAGGAGCCCCGGGATGCCCCTTCTCCACCGAGGCTGTAGCTGCCACGGTTCTAGGTTCTATTTCTAAGCAGACCTTTCAAAACATTAAACCAATTTAAATAAATTGGTCACTTCTGTTAAGTGCTGAGGTCTGCTTTGCTTGCGGAGGATTGCTCTTCTGTCATACAAAGCTCTGGCTGCCATTTCCTCGGGCTTTGTTTGACCAAAAAGCAGCAGCGACGCTCTCGAGTGTGGAGGTTGCTGTAGATGGGGAGCTTGCTCGGTGCATGAGCGTGCTGAGGGGCACCGCTCCCGGCTGCAAGACGGGACTTTTATGATCCTTTATTTTAAATCTGCTGCCCAAAAGCTAACACTGTGGTGCACCGAAAGGAGTCCAGAGGTGGTGGAGGCTGTGGGCTGGTTGGAAGGAGAAGGCACCATCCCTCCATCTTCTTTGTCCCTGAGCAGGAATATGCCAGAGTTTGCAGCAGCTAAGTGGGAGCTGTCAGAAGTCTCCCAGGGGGATTTTCCTTGGCTGCAGTTTTTGCCTAACAAATGTTCTCCCCCGGGCTATGCTGCAGGCGCTCTGCTGCTGGAGCAGCTCTAAACGCATGCAAACCACACGGATTTATTCGGGGTGGGGGGAGATGGCTTTTTTTCTCCTGTCTCCTGCTTTTATGGGGTTTCTGAGGTTTTATGGCTCCCCAGGTGTGGGGAGCAGGAGTGCTGGCTTTCGCGAGGGGGGCTGGGGGGGCCGGC